TGGCTCCTGCTAAGTCTGGCTTCCTCTCCCCCTCCCTTCCTTCCCCAGCTCTTCCCTGGGGCCCCTAGACCTCACGTTCTGGCTGGCTCTAGTCGCCTCCCAGGCTCCAGCTGCCATCCCATCTCAGACTGCCTGGTGACCTCTGTTCTTGCCCAGGTCACTTCCCCCAAATCAACCAGAGTGAACGGGTGAGTCTCCATGTGGGCCCAGCCCTGGCACTGGTCATAGCCTTTGAGACCCCCAAAATCCTTGCCAAAGCTATGAGCAGGCTCTGTTCCTGTCACTTCACTGTCCTCTTCCCTTGATCACTCCTTCCCAGGCACACTACCCAGAATCCCAGATTCCTCACTTGCCTAGGTGCCTGTGGAAGATTCCAGTAGAGTTTGTGTCTTCCTGTAATGTCAGAAGTTAAGGAAAAATAATAAAATCACGGGCCAGCAAGAGGGCACAACCGGTGAAGGTGCTTGCAGCCAAGTCTGAAGGTCTGAATTTGATCCCTAGGAGCCACATGGTGGAAGGAGAGAACCAACTACTACATGTTGTCCTGTCTCTATGCATGTGATGTGCTTTGTTTGACATGTACGCATACACACATACATACATACATACATACATATATATCATCAGTTACTGTAAAAAGAAATTGTGAAAAACCTCACAAGATACATGTGTTTCCATGTCGCCAGAGATCAGCTACTACCTCGTGAGTTCCTTCAGGGTTATCTCCCTTTGTTTGCTTTTGAGACAGGGACTCACTGTGTAGACCAGACTGTCCTAGAAAGTTCAGAGATGCCCCTGCCTCTGCAGCCAGGATACCGACATGACAGACACCAGTCATCACACTGGTCCAAAATAAGAAGTCTCCAGAGTGAATGCCTTGGCAGGGGCAACTAGGAATTGGAAGCTGGGGTTGGGGGGACAGGGGAATGGCTATGTGGGGCCCTGGGCCATTTCCTGCGGCTCCTGAGGTGCCAGGTATCGGTCTTGTCTGCTCCCCTCCTGACTGTTCCTCAGCCTGTGTCACCCTGCCTCTGAACTCCTCAGGGCTATGAGACCTGAGAATCAGGACTTAAAACACAGAAGGGGCAGGAAGGTCAGGAGTTCAAGGCCAACCTTGGCTACATGGGTCTGCAACACCACCATCCCCCCCCAAAAAAAGAGAAGAAAAAAAAGAAAACAAACAAAAAATCCAAAACAAAACAAGGGCACTTGCCGAGCCCTGATGACCTGAGTTCAATCCCCAAGACCCACAAAGTGGAAGGAGAGAACTGACTCCTACAAGGTGTCCGTGTGCTACGGCTTTCACGTGCACATTCAAGTAAATCTGATGGTAATTTTTATAAGCAGGAACAATTCTTTTGATCGCTGCAACCATGTTTGCCCCCCACACACACCTACAAACAGGGTGGAGGAGACGGCTCTGTGGGAAGAGCCGTTACTTCGACAGTATGGCAACCTGAGTTGGAATCCTTGGAGCCCAATTAAAAAGCCAGTGCTGCCCAGGCATAAGGGGGCACACCCTTAATCCCAGATTTGGAGGCAGAGGCTAGAGGATCTCCGTGAGTTTGAGGCCAGCCTGGTCTACACAATGAGACTATGTCTCAAAGAAACAAAAATTAATAAATAAAAATAATAACAACAAAAAGCTGGTGTGTCTACACCAGCAGCTGTGACCCCAGTGCCCAGAGGAGGCTATGGCTGTGGCCCAAGTAGCTTCGGGTTCAGTGAAAGGACCTGGTTTCAAGAGCATTAGCTGAGCAATGACAAGAGGACACCACTGTCCTCCTCTGACTTCTACAGGCATGTGGCACACACAGGCCATACACCACACACACACAGACATTTGGATGTTGAAATATTTTCTTTTAAAAATTGTTTGTGGAGTTGGGCGTTGATGGTGCACGCCTTTAATCCCAGCACTCGGGAAGCAGAGGCAGGCAGATCTCTGTGAGTTCGAGGCCAGCCTGATCTACCAGAGCTAGTTCCAGGTCAGCCTCCAAAGCCACAGAGAAACCCTGTCTCGAAAAAACCAAAAACAAAACAAAACAAAACAAAACAATTGGTTGTGGAGAACCAAGCTCAGTGGGTAAGGAGCACTGGCTTTTTAATTGGGCTCCAAGGATTCCAACTCAGGTTGCCATGCTGTCGAAGTAACGGCTCTTCCCACAGAGCCGTCTCCTCTTGCACAGGACTTGGCTTTGGTTCTCAGCATCCACATGGTGGCTAAAAATGACTTCAAACTCCAGTTGCTGGGGACCTGACAACCTCGTCTGGCCTCCACGGGCCCCAGGCACATGGTGCACAGGCAGACACACAGAAAACACTCATACACATAAAATAAAAATAAATAAATAACAAAGATGATGTGTGGTATCTGGGGTGGTGGTGTACCCTATTAATCCCAGCACTCAAGCACATCTATACAGTGAGATCCTGTCTCAAAATAATGACACTAATTAAATGACATTAAAGTTGAATGTGGGGATAGGTATCAACCCAGACTTGTTTAATTATTTTATTTTTCTTTTCTTTTCTTTCTTTTTTTTTTTTTTTGTTTTTATTTTTTGAAACAGGGTCTCTGTGTAACCCTGGCTGTCCTGGAACTCACTCTGTAGACTAGGTTGGCCTTGAACTCACGGAGACGCAGCTGTCTCTGCCTCCTGAGGGCTGGGGTTAAAGGTGTGCCCACCACACCAGCCACCTTGGACTTTCAAGGCTGATAATGAGGTCCTGGGTTTGGGACCAGCAAGGCTGTCTAGCCAGGCATTGTCTCAAAACAAAACAACCATTTGGAGACGTGCATCTATCCAGCAAGCGTGAACACAAGGCGGGGGCACAGGCAGGGAAGGATGGGGAGAAATGAGGTTGGTCGGTGAGGAAGAAGCCGCTGAGGCCCTAGTCTCTGGGGAAGGCCCTTCCTGGCACCCTGAAGGCTGGGGGTGGGGGGAGCAGGCCTGCATGAGCATTGTCCCTCAACACAGACGTCATTCAATGTAAACAATGCCAAAAGCTTTCCCCGGTCTCAACTGAGACCGGACAGTCCTGGGTGGGGACTCTGGCTAAGTCCTCAGTTTCCTCCTCTGAGAAGTGGGGATCAGAATAGAAACTTCCCAGCCACCATGGAAAGGGTGGGGGTGGGGGCAGCTTGAAGGGACTCAGGGCCTACTTTTGTCTCTATTCATCCTTTGCAGTATTTTCTTTGCTTTCTCCCCCACCTTCCTTTCTTTCAAAAGAAGTACTCACTATGTAGTCTTGAACTTGCAATCCCCCTGCTCAGTCTGGAGGTTTGCAGGATGGTCTGGAGCTGGAGGCCAACCCAGGCTACATACATCAGACACCACCTCAAAAGCAAGCAGCTCACTGCGGCTGAAGGGACAGCAGTAAGCTCTCTTTCAGAGGACCTGACTCCAGTGCCCCCCCACACGCACACACACAAATAAAGTAAAATAGCTGCTGCTTCGGAGTGCACCAGGAGGATTTGCTGAAGGAGACAGAAGGATTGAGTTTGAGGCCAGCCTGGGCTACATATTGGGGCAAGGTGAGATGTCACATACCTTTAATTCCAGCACTCAAAACGCAGAGGCAGGTGGATCTCTCTGAGTTGAAGGCCAGCCTGGTCTACAGAGTGAGTTCCAGAACAGGCAACACTACACAGAGAAACCCTGTCTCAAAAAATAAAAACAAGCAACCAAACTAACCCCAGAATGATCTCTGGAACTAACTCCCTCATAGTTCACCACCAAGAGGCCATGAGAGGCAGACACAGTTCCAGCCACCATGTGATGGCTCAGCTGTTGGAATCTAGGTCTAGGGATCCAAAGAGCTTTGGTTTAAAATTCTAGAGACTGTGGCTAGAGAGATATCTCAGTGGTTAAGAGCACTGGCTGTTCTTTCAGAGAACCACAGTTCAATTCCCTGAAGCCTCATGGCAGTTCCCAACCGTCTGTAATAGGATCTGATGCCCTCTTCTTGAGCACAGATAGACATGTGGACAAATCATCCACATACAAGTCCCAGAGACTGCCCTGAGCCTTGGAACCTGCTCAGGCATGAGATTCCTCAGTAGTCCAGAATGGCCTTGAACTTTTAATCCTCCTGCCTCGGCCTCCTGAGTGCTGAAGGACCTGGTCTCGACTGGGTCACCCAGGTGATGTGACCTGAACTGGCCTGAACCGGAGTGGCCTGGGCTCTACATAGAACAGTCCCTGAGTCACCTTCCCCATGACGCACATGAACACACGTGGTGTCTCCAGCGGATGACTGGGCTGGTGACCTAGTGAGGGGGTGTGGGTATTGGGCCAGATGCCCTAGTCATGCTCCAAGGACAGTCTGACCCCTCTTTGACTGTGGACTGCACTTTTCAGTTACCATTTGGCGGCCTTCATCTTTAATGGCCTTTCACTGGAGAAGGGTCTCAGGCTGTGGCCAGGTCCCCCACTCTGGCTCAGATGTCTATTTATTTCCTTATTTTTATTGTGTGTGGGGCGCACCTATGCCATGGCTGGGGTGTGGAGACAGCTTTCAGGAGTCCATGCTCTAACTCCTACTGTGTGGGTCCCAGGGATGGAACTTGGGCTGTCAGGCGTGGCGCAAGCTCCTCTACCTGCTGAGCCTTCTCACCAGCCCAACTTCCATTCTGTAAAAGTGAACAGCGGGTTCTGGGGTAGGCAGATGCTCAGTGAAAGCTGTGGGCAGAAGGACCTGAATTTGATCCCAGACCACAGATAAGAAAGCTGAGTGTGGTGGGTAGGTGCATTTGTAGAGAACTAGGGGGCGATGGCAGCTCTCAGGCCCATGGTAAGTCAGCAAGGCCAGTGACAAACCCTGGGTCAGAATCCAATGGTGGCTGGGTGTGATGGCACTTAACTTTAATCTCATCACTCAGGACCAGATCCAGCCAGTCTGGCCTACATATAGAGACCCTGTCTCGAGAGAACAACAAAAACCATGGTGGACGGGCCAGTAAAGTGTTTGCCCCCAGGCCTGGGGACTGGAGTTCAATCCCCAGGGCCCACATGGTGAGATGTTCTCTGAGCCATGGCACATGCTTATCCACATACAGAATAAATGAAAAAGGAAAACCACAACGGATGACTATGAGAAACCGAAGCCAGGGTTGGGGTCTGGCCTGTGCCTTCACATACACATACAGGGTACACCTGACGAGACTCGGACCACAGTCTCCACTCCACGGACCCAGTCCGGCCCCCTAGCCTCTGAGCTGGCTGTTCCAGCAGCTCAAGACAACGTTCCCTTTATTTTCCCTGTGGTCGACTCCTCTCCATCCTCCAGCTCACAGTACCCGCCTCCCTCCAAAGCCCTGCCTTGCCTGTCTGGAGTATGGTCACCTCGGTTTACCTGCCATGCTTCATTATGGAGGCAGCAACTGTGACCTCTGCCTCCCTCCTCTCCCAGCCCTGATCAGACTTCCTTTATCTATAATCCTAGGATGGAGACCTCAGTCTGGTTTGCATCTCACCTGGGTGGGACTGCAGGGTTGACTAACGGGGGACGCTGGGACTCCAGGATTCTTTTCTTGAATTCCTCTAGGGTAGCAGGATCTATAGGAAAAATGAGGGTTGGTGTGAGCAGCCTAGGAGAGGCGAGGTGGGGTGGGGAGCCAGGTGTCCCCCTTCTGGCCCTTCAGGCTGTCACACACTCACTCACCTATGGGCGGAGGAGGGGCTGGGCCCGAAGAGATTCTTGGCGGGAGTGCTGGCTGCGACTGGGGAAAGAGCAGAAAGGGTTGGAGGAGTTGGTCCCCCCACCCCCACCCCAACCCCGTGCGCCCTACAAATGCCTAAGCAATCTAGCTGGGTGGTTTTTGTGTTGGCCAAGGCTAGCCTGAAACTCACTATTTAGACCAGGCTGGTCTCCAACTCACAAAGGTCCTTCTTTAACTGAATGCCGAGTGCTGAGATTAGAGATCGTGTCACCATTCCTGGCCCGAGAAACTTAGATCCTAACCCAAACCAATCTGAGGCATCACGGAGGAATTTGACTTAGGCGGGAAATCGAGGCCACCACAGCGCCGACATCACCTGCAACCCTCACCCGAACCCCTAACCCTACCACTGAGCTCCACTCCCCTCCAAACCCCGCTC